TAAAATTTCAATAACTTATGGTAGTAAAAATTTTGAAATTTAAATTGAAAAATTGAACAAGAATTAATAATTTGAACATACGTAGAAAGTTTTCGCCAGATTGGTTGAATTCGCATTTATAGTTCTAACAAAGATCTGCAATGGCAGAATATGTTTGTAGTTTGCTGCAAAATGTATTCCGATCGACAACATAAAATTTTTTTTTCTGCTTGTATATTCATAACAGCAATTAGCAGGCAAATAAACAAGTAAATCAGACTTTTTCACACCAAACGTTTTGTTGGCTGCGTTGTTTTAATAATTCTATTGTAATGCAGTTTCAACTAATAAGATCGTAATAACCCGTGGAAGTCAATAAATTTTCTTTTAAAAAATTTGTAAGCAACTTGATTCGAAACTTGAATTGATAAAATCATGGGTTTTTAAATTTTATTCAGATTAGTTGCTTGTCTTTCCTTTATAAGGTCTTGCGGCAAGCGATTATATAGCCACCGATATCTGTGTATACATATTATGTCTTCCTATTTTTCTTATTCCTTGTAGGTTTGGGAGCCCGAAAGCCAGATGTGGAAGTAGACGTAGATCTCGATCAGAAAAATTCTATATCAAAAGTTGATTATTCGGAAGAATTTTACATCATTTAAAAAAAGAAAACATTAATCTCAAAAAACTTTAACTAATGTTATCGCAAGAAGAAGCGTCGCTTCTTACGTGACTCTTAATTTTTCCAGAAATTTCGTTATAAATTTAAGTGGATATGTTGTAACGTATTTAGCTGAATAAGTTTAAAAATAAATTTTTGCATTCGATTTGGCAACTCAACGATATAATTTAGTAACTCAACGATATAATAAATTCATTAGTATAGATTAGATTACAGATGGCGTAGAAATTATTCGAGTTATTGAAAAATAGTCTTAAGTATCCGATGACTGTCTTCAAGAAAAAAGCACCAATTTTTTGTTGCCGCCATTATTTTGTACATTAAATAAATTTTGTTTAGAAAATTTGTTTAAAATCGTTTGGTTTTTTTACTTATTTTAAATACAATTTTGTGTTTGTGATCAATACATTGTTAATTTTAGCATAGAATAAAAACAACTGTAAATCAAGATGAGTTCAGCACCTCTACGTGAGCTGTTCTAATTAGTATGGAAGTGAATTGCTATACTTGTTTAATCAACAACCTAAAAATGAGTGTACCAGTAGTAGAATAGCAAATTAACAAAGTCAGTTTGAGGTTTTCACAAATTAAACGTTTGTTTTTGAAATAGTGGTTTGCAGTGGCTTAGAATATTTTTTACAAAGTTTTGCCTTTTTTTTGGATTTTTTAAATTTTAAGTTAAAAACTTTGATTTGTTTTAAATATTCAATTTATTTGTCCTAGTTTTCATTATTTTGGTGCTTTTTGGGTTTTGTAATTTTTAATTTTAGTTTCCATTTTTTTATACTAACTTCAATTAACATTTTCATTTTGTTTTATTTTATTTTTATAATTTAATTTTTGTTTTGAATTTTTTATTTGAAATTGAAAATTTTTGTTATTTTGTAGACGAACATGTGCCACTGCTTGGCCGGACAACACCTACAAAAAAAATTCGTACCATTCAACAATCAGAAATGATGCCAACCGGAAACAATAATAAAAAATCTTATCGAGATACAAAGACGTCACTGTGTTAAAAGAATTAGAAAAATATAAGAATAAAAAAAATTATTTATTTTATATGAAAATTTTGATTAAACATCAATGAAGTTTGAATTATCCTAATATTTAATTTAAACACTAATAAAAGTGGATCCCTAACCCAGAACACTCAACAAATTTAGTGATCATTGAGTGACTCAAACATTAGTGACCTAAACATATTTTAAATTAAAAATTTTTAAACAGTTTTAAATGATTTTTTTGATTGCGGATTGTTTTTAGAAAGGCGGACCATTGCATTTTTTCCAATTTAAGGTACTCATGTAAGATACAATTAAGTAAGGCTATTAAAAGTTTACACATTTTATGTGATTTTGTTTTGATTGGTGTTAATGGCAAAAATTTCAAAAATGTTTATTAACATAAACTTTCTTTTGTCATGTTATATGTCTCCAACATCATGGAGATCCCTTTTTTTATGTAACTATACAAGTTTCTATAATTTTCATAAATTATGGAATTAAACTTGTAACAGTGGTACAACTAACAATGTTTCAGACAAAATTTACATTGATTGCCTTCCGAAATGTTTCAGTAATAAAATTTATTAATTTTAATGCAAGAACTTTACCAATTTCTAGAAAAATGGTAGAACAGTTGAAATTTATGAAAATATTAGAATAAAGAAAACTTCATTTTAAAAAATATTTTTTTAATTTTAACTTGTATTATTGGAAATTTTATAACGAATATTATGTGCTCAAGAAATTATTTCTATTTAATTTTTAAAATAATTTTTTCATTTTAAATTTGTAATAATCAAAACTTAATAATTTATTTTTTAATGTCACTTAAAATTCATTAATTTTCTAATATTACTTTATAGGGATTATATAATGTTTGTGTTTTTAATTTATTGTAATTACAAATTAAAGAGAGTGTGCACTTAATTAAAATTAAATTAAGAGCCTCAGACTGCATTTCACTTTTTACAATTTCATTTCTCACTTTTGCTCAGTATATCATGCAAAAATTTCTATATAACTTTGCATATTTCTCAGATATTTGGAAAAATCGAGGAGAATAACTTAAAAATGTTGTTCTATGAATGCACGGCAAGTGAGTAAAAGAGTGAATTACAGCATGAGGCTCACAACATTTTTTTTCTCTTAATTAAACTATATTATATTCTCTGACATTATCATTGAATTATTATTGTACTCGTATTCTCTAACATAAACTACCACTATATTGTATAACACAAAACAATATTATTAACTTATATAATATTTTAATAAAAATTGATTTATGTTTTATGGAATTAAAAATAAAGTTGTTTTTTTGTTCAAATTATTTCTTATGGAAAATTTTAAATTATAAAGTACTCAAGTATGGAAATGTTTCATTCAAGTATTTTAGGTTATTATTCTAATTGAGTTAGGAGGACCATATATATTATATATTGTAGAAAATTACATTAAGGCTAATTTTTTAAAAAAGGTAGAATCCATCCAAATCAGAATCAGACTACAAAAATTTGCATTGCAATAATAATTTCTTTGTGAAACATTAGGGCTGCACATCATTTGTAATTTATTTACAAATTAAACTAAATTTAAGATAGCACAGCATTTATTAATTTTATGTTTAATTTTATAATTGTGTCCTTAGTGTGTTGTCATTTAAGAACTGGTAAGATTACATCATACCAAAAATTTTGTATTACAATTTTAACTATACAATTAGAAATTAGCAGCTTATTTAGTTTATGTTTAATAAGTATAATATTTTGTCTAAAATTTGGGTTGTTGTCTAGTCTACACTTTAATTTGTCTCTTACTTTATAATTTTATAAAACTAAATTTAATCAGAATTTATGAAATATTAACCAAAACGTGCTCTTAAACAAGTTTTGATTACAAAGTTCTATTAATATTTGAAGATTTAAACTTCTTCAGACTATAACTGAAAGTTTAAAAAGAAAACCACATACAGTTAATTTATATATTTCAGCTGGTGGGTTCAGTTGCAAAAATGCATGTAATCATCTTCTTTTTTGCAGAAAACGTAAAACAAAACATAAAACGAATTGTATTAAAAGTGAATTTTTTCCACATGGCGTAGTTGATTCCTTTGCATATTTTTACGAGTTTTTTTTTTGCATATTTTTTGGAGCCTCAAAAACTAAAAAATTTAAAATGTTGGAGAAAAGTGAAATTATGAAGAAAGCAGGAACTAGCAGTTTAAAAATTTCGAAGCATTTTAAATAAGATTTTGTTGCTTATTTCAAAATAAGCATAAATAAACTTCGTAAGCCAATGTTAACCTCCATTTTCTTTTTGAAAATCGAATAGCATCACTTTTGTAACTAAACATCATAACTTTTTTATGAAAACATATATAGATTATAATAATTGACTTAAAATACAAAATTTACTCCAAAAATCTAACAAACTCAATGTTGCATCTCATAAAAGTTACAAATACATCAAATTTAAGAATTTTTTACCATGTAAACCTTATAAAATCTAAAAATATTTTTTTTTGTAAAAAAAAACCAAAATAGAAAGAGAGAAATAAAAAATAATTTAAAAAAAAAATTACTTTAAATTTTCCCTCCTTTTTGGTTTTCTCTGTACCACCCAAAATAATACTGGGCTGGCAACAATAATTTCTAATTTTTTAAACAAATTTTATTGTAAACTTTTTTTCACTTGTTTTTTTTTCTTCGTTTTCGTTCAATGCATGAGAATTTTTTTTATTTGTTCTTAAGATTTTTTCCTATTTTATTTTTTCAAATAGAAACGAAATCTTAGTAAACAACAGACACAACAGAACCCACACAATTATTTTTATTTTCCTATACCTCTTACACCTTACCACTTTGTATACATTTTTTGTTTTGGGTTTTTTTTAAATATAAAACAATAACAACAACGGCAACACCATTAACACGCAACATTAAATTTTTGCTAACAAAAAAAAAAGCAGTTAACCGTATAGAAAATTTTTTTTCTGTTTTTTTGGCTTTTTGGAAACTTTATGGTTCAGAAATAATATGCAAAAGTTTTTGAAAATGTTTTGTACAAAAACAAAAAGAAATCAAAATGAAAACTAAAAATTAACAATAACCAAAACACAAACAAATTAAATTAATAATTCGGCCATTTTCTCTTTTCCTTCAAACAAATACATAAAATAATAAAAAATAAATAATCGAAAAGGCTACAAAATTACTTGAAACAAAAACAACAACAGAAATTACAAAAACATAAAAATTTTGTTCTTTTTTTCTGCATTACAACAAAAAAAAAAATATTTTATTTAAAAAATTTTCTTATGTTTTACCCAGCCCTTCCTAGGATATCAAAATATTATTATGTCGGTAAGTTTATTTTAATTTTAAACAAAAAAACAAAAAAAAACAACAAAATAATCAATAATTTATATAATTTTTTTGTTTTGGCTTTATTTACCCTTAATTTAAATTCATTTTGGGTTACCACCTATCCATTTATTATGTACTACAATATTATATTATTGAATTTGTGTTCATTCTGTTGATTCCAGTATAAAATAATTTGATACCAAAATAAACCGAAATATTAATGAAATTATTACAATGTTTTCCAAAATTATTTAAAATTTTTTTTTCGTTTTTTCGTTTTTTTTTCTTAATTCTTTTGAAAATTTTATTTATATTTAAGTGTATTGTATATTTTGTTAGAAAAAGAAACAAAAGTGTACACATGCAATAATATTGATACATATGAAAAAGAAAAAACAATAAACAAAGCATTTTTAACACTTAAATCTCAAAGACACACTACATAACACACAAGTAAATAATACGGTAATTGAACTGGCAACCCATATATGAGTCATAAACGGCAAGGCTAAAATTAAAATAACAAATAACTTTAAAGTTTGAAACGGAAACACTCTTAAAATTTTTTTTTGTTATTTAAGGAAAAAACTTAATGATTACTCTTTCTCGTCCGTCGAAAAACAAAAATTACAGCATTTGACTTAGTTGATTTAACAGTAAAAATCGTTTATTGAGGTAATTTCCTGATATCTCTTACACTTAGAAAATCAAAAATAAAATGTAAAAATCCAAAAGGACAATTGGTGGTTTCCTCATATGGGTATATGATGAAATGTTCAATAAAATTCGTAACAAATTCTAATATACATTCACAAATACAAAATTATTGGTCGAATTGTCAGGTAAAATAAGAATGAAATGATTCTTATGAGGTGTTTTTTCGCAAAATCTGAATTAAATTTAATCAAAAAATAATTCTTAGTTAAGTAGTAAAGTGAATTTACTAATTTTACGTAGAAAATTGATCTGTTAGATCTAATATTCTAAACACGATTCATGTCGAATAAGTGAATTCTTAGTAACATCGTTAACGAATAGGTAGTACACAACATATTACTTTAGTCTAATTTAAAAATTTTGCCTTTAATTTTAAATAACGTTTAATGTGGATATTCCACTTTATATCCGTATGAACTATGTTCGCAGGGTATTTTGATGCAAATTGGGGCAATGTTGCATTACGTAGCTGCTAAAAAATTTCAACAATAATAGACCATATCTCACAATCTTTGCTAAAAATGCTGAAATACCGACTTATAGAGCCATGTGAAATAGGTCTATTTTGTATGTAGTTGAATTCATTTGAATCGACATAGGACAGACCTCCTGTAATCCAGTGATTCAATTTGACGATTATCACAAAACTAACGTGATCAATTCCATCTTTCTCATTTAAAATGAATATCTTTTGAACAATTGTCAAATTTTTTATTAAAAAATTTAAGTATATATAAAGTTAACGCATTCAAAATTTAACTTCAAGTCAAAAAGGTTTTTTGTTTAGTTATAGCTTTTCAAAAAAATAGATCTATTCTAAATTTTTTCTTTTCATGTCTTACTGTAGAACTAAAAATAATTTCTGCTTGCAAAAACGCAAATCTCTTCTAAAGCAATACATAATACACATCCTTGTTCACATTGACATACCTTTATTGCTCGATATAATAAGTTATATATTTGTATGTATATAAAATATTTTAGTTAAATATATACTTAATTATGTTAAATACTTCCTTTATATTTTTATAATAAATAATGTTATTGCTATAAATATTTTAAATTAATTTTTTAAAATATGCAAAATTTCTTATTGACTAAGTATTTTTTTTCTTAAATTAGTGGCAGAGAAAGAATAAGCTATATATATATATATATATAAATTGCATGTGTAATCTTTATATTATAAACTATAAATATATTTCTATAAATTGTATGTATTACACTTTTAGTTATGTATTGTAAAAAAAATTTATTTTAAATTATAATTTTCCCTCCATTTTATAATACCCGAAATGTCTTAGTTTATGTAGATATAAACTAAACTAAATAAATAAAATAACTGATAATAAAAACAGATTTCCAATATTGTTTTTATTCCCCGGATGACGTAAGAGAATAATTGCGCCAGTATTTGAACGCATATATTGGCCCACGAGACGAATACATTAATTAGGAGTGCAATTAAATGCTATATACTCTCTTCTTTCATTTCGTATAAAATACAAATCATTTACAAATAATCAGGGAATAAGAAAATAAACTGTATATTTTAAGTCTTCGAATTAAAAACTTAGCTCTAGTAACATCCAATTTGACATTAAAAATATTGGGGTTAAATTTATTAAATCCATTTTAATAATATTTTCTGAGATAATTGATAGGTAAATAATTTCTTTAACGATTTAAAATTTCAAAACTGACTTCTAACATTCTCTTATCTCTCATACGGTAATTGATATTTTATCTCATAAAATAATTTTACGAAACATAAATAAGAGAATAAATAATATTGGAGCTACTAAAAGACAAAGTTATGCACCACATGCAATATATGGTATCTAATTGACTGTTCTCTTCATGATGCTCTTATATAAATTATAACTGCTATACCTAAATGAACACGACATCGGTCTGTGTTCCGCAATGTCATTACAGTAATTGCAGTAAAGTACATATTATTGGCGTTTGTATAAAACGTTAAAAACAGTGAAAATAATTTTTTCATTTCGATACCAAACCTTTAGAATTGGAAAATCAAATCTGGAATCAAATCTGGCGATTTCGATTTTTCACATGCAGATGTCATTCTTTATTGACAACCGTAAGTCGCATGACGCGTTCGTTTTAGTATAACACTATATAACACTATTAAAAGTGTGACAAAAAATCAATCATCCTTTAGTAGACAAAACTGTTTTCCCCGCATTAATTGTAAAATATAAAATGTAAATAATTTTAAATTTTAATGAATTTCTTTATGTATAATTTTATAATTTTCGTATACATATATAAAAATAAAATAATTATGCATATATGTATAAAAATATTATTACAATAAAAATAATTTTTTTCTCTTTCTCTCTCTCTCTCTCTTTTATCATTTTATTTTATTTATTTATAATCAAAAAATTAGCTGGCGATCCAAATGCATGGCGTCTTGGACGAATAGAAGAAACTGATCATGAAACGGCTGTTTGAAAATCACTGCAATTTATATCATCACCATCACCATCATCATCAACATCTTTATTAATACCATCATCATCATTATCTACAATATCGCCATCACCATCGTCTTCAACAACAACAACATCAACAACATCTTTATCAACATTAGAAGAGTCAAATGTAACAATTTTAACAACAACAGCTGCAACAACAAAATCAACTTCAAAACATTTTACTCACATTATTAAAACGACTTATAATCATAGAAATTATGTATATTATGTATAAAATAATAAAAAAAATTAATTAAAAAAAAAACAAAAATCATAAGCTTAAAAACAATAAATTATATTAAAAAAAAAAATAGAAAAAAAATTTGTAATTAAAATGTGAATACAAAAATTAAAATATAAAAGATATTGAAACAAAATTATTAATCTTCAGATTATAAAATTTAAATTGTTCGGAGTATTGTTCGGAATTGAAAGGTAGTCAAAATTACAATGTTCTAACGGAGACTTTTATTGAAAAAATTATTGAAATTTTATTCGAAAATTTAAGTTTGTATAATTTTTTTCGATTGTCAAATTTACAACCTTTTTTAAATAAACCATTCTTAATAAAATTTTAAGAAATAAAATGAAAATTTTAATCTATTAAAATATATTTATGCTCGTTGATTTGCCAAATTTTAGGAATCTCACAATATACATCCTGTATCTATTGCAAAAGCTTTTATAGCCGAATCTATCATTTGAAAAGAAGAATACGTCTTTAAGCTAAGTTAATCACACTGAAACACCTAATGGAATCGCAGGTAAAAATTAAATTAACAAAAACTACCATGACTTTATCAGAACTGAAATAGAACAAAAACACATTTCTCATTCACATTATCACAAGAAAAATACTTTAAGCTGAGGTAAACAAACTGAAGCAGCTAAGTGGACCGCCATTAGAAATAAAATTAACAAGAAATACCATGACTTTGTCACAATTGAAATAGAACAAAAACACGAACCGGAAGTCTTATTTAAAATAACTAATTTTATTTTTTATATTTGAAACTTCACTCAACTTTAATTTCAACTCAGCTTTACCAACTATAAAAAACTTCCTTGTGTGTACATTCATTCAAAAATATTACAGGTTATTAAACTTTGTTTTGTTCCATTTGAAAACTGTAATGTTGACTACTTTTTTGTTAAACGAAACAACACTGTATTTGATTCGAAAAAATAATAAATTAAAAAAATTAAAAATTAACATAAGATTGAAATCAGTATAAATAATTATTATAAAAATAAATAAAAAAAACATCTGAAATTATTAATGTAATTAAAAATAATAAATTTTGAATGCTGTAAATTAAAAATGCTAAATAAAATTAAAATAAGTAATAAATTCGAATTAAATGAAGAAAACAAAAAAACAAACAACAAGAAATTATCAATTTAAATTTAGAAAATTAAATAATAATAAAAAAAAAAAGAATAGTGATGTGTACCTTTTAATAAATCTAAATATTAAATAAATAATTAAATTTAATAGAATATTTGATATAAAACAGAGAAAAAGAAACAGGATAATTAGATTAGAAAATAAATTTATTTTTGTTATAAAATAAATAAGAATATTTTGTTTTTTATTTTGCAAAATTTAAATAATTACGAGATTATTAAAATTATATTTAGAATTTAGTATATATATATATTATATATAAATATTGTAAAAACATATAAAATAATTAAAAAATAAATATACATAATAAATACACACATACATATATATATACAAATTAAGAAAGTATTAAATTTATTTTATATAAAAATTATTATTATAATTATTAAATTTATTATTAAAATTTATTAAACTAATAAACTACATGTATATGTGTTTGTTATGTGAATTAATATTATAATTATATATTATTAGAAAATATTAAAAATTAAATTTTTATATATTTAATGTTTTTATTTCATTAATATTTATTATATAAATTACATATATATACACACATACATATATATATGTAAGAATATGATATAAAATACATAAAATGCAAAATGAACAATCAATAAATTTTTCATTCGAAAAATATTATGTAATTATCATTATCGGCAGAATGTATTTTTCTTAAATTTATTAATGATTATTTTTACATTGTTTAACTGATTACACATATTTATTTAATTGTTAAATAACAGTTAACCGTAAATATATACAATAAAACACGATTAAAGTTGTTATGCAGTAGAACTCTGTATAACACACAGAGTTCTACTGCATAACAACTTTAACCGTGGATCAAATATAACACACTGCAGAAGAATTTTTAAGTATTAGTTTTCCTGTATATGTAATCTTAAAAGAAATGAAATAACTTAAATTAAGTTATAATCTGCAATTTTTTTTTTAATTTTTATTAAATTTGAAAATAAATTTTTAAGTTCTAATTAATAATTATTATGTTTTCTATGTAAAAATTTATTTTTTTAAACATTTTAAACGAAACTTTCAAACAAAATTTTAATAAACGGACAAAAGGTTCTCCTTCGATCTATGTCTAATTAACCGTGTTTTATTATAAGTATAGTAAAAGTTAGGAACTTGTAATAGCATGTAAAGTTACACAATGAAAAATCATATTAAAAGTGGATGTCGGAATATCAATGCTATAATGAATTTCGCTATAGAAGAAAAATAATGAGACTTTATAAAAATTTAGTTTAATTCAATATTTGTCTATATTTTGTTCAATTATTCCACACTGTCTAGAAATTGCACCTTATTTCTGGAAATAGAATTATTTAAAATTGATTGAATTTAATTTTATTAAAACAAAAAGTTTTCCAGATTTCTACATCAAGCATATCGTTAGTATACAAGTAAAACGTATTTTTGTTTATATCTGACATATCAATTTCCTATATAAATTTAAATGTTCAAGGGATCAAATATAACACACTTAAATTATTTTCTTGAAAAAACAAAAATTTTAATTAAATACCCAAAATTGTAATGTGATTTTAAAATATACTTATATAAAATCAATAAATGTTTAATCTAAATTACTCTTTTAAATCTTTTAACACAGGGTTAATTTTATATTATGTATATATATGTATGTATATGTATAAAAATGAGGAACTTGTCTAGGACCCAATTTTTCAATAACTTTATCAAAAAACAAAATCAATATAAATTTTTATACGACAAAATTGTATGAGGTCTGCCAATGCTTATGGAGAAGACTGCAATTTTTCTAATGAAAATCGTTTAAATATCCCTTTACACTGTTTAAAATTGCACACAGATTTAATTCGATAAATTGATAATTTTCCGAATCTGTAACACTCCAAAAAAAAAAATTCTTCTATTTTCTTTAAATAATAAAAAATTATAATGTTTGTTTTTAAAATTCTATTAATTTTTCGAAAAAAGTAAAGAAAAAGTGAGAAAGAATGAGTTGAGTAAAGAAAAATTTTGTATAGAATACCAGAAATTTAACCCTGTTACAGCTTAACGTGACTCCCATATACTCATTTTACCATAAGCTCCCACTTTACATTTTTCAAACGTGTAATGCAATACTGTTACATATTTTTAATAATTAATAATCTTAATATTTATTTAATAAAATAAAATTTATCAAAAATTACAAATTTTAAATTTAAACAAATTGACCAATAAACTCACTGTACCTGTATAAAATATACATACATCTGCATTACACAAACATGTGCATATATAAATACATGTTATGTTATCACGGCTGACAAAAATGCAGGCTCGTATATACTGTTGTTTTTGTGAATAAGGTAATAAAAATGTTTTTTTTAAACAATATGGCACTTCCGGAGTAACATATATAGTTTTCCTTCCCCTTTTTTTTTGGCAATTTAGGTTTTTTCATTGTAAAAATTGCCTAAAATCTACAAACAAAATGTTTTTATAAAAATGGAAATTGGAATTTCGTCAACAACATATCTTAAATACAAATATAACCTCGAAATTTTAAATGCTAATTTGATTGAACATATTTTTTTGGTAAAATTTGAAAAAAAAAAGGAAACAAAATAAATTTTAAATCAACTTTGTAATATTATGACAAGGTATGTACGTTTGCTCCAAACAAAATTCGCAAAGACTAAATTCCAAGATTTCCTAAAATACTTTTTCTGATTTCTATAAAAAATGGTATAAAGTAACAATTTTGAGCAGTTGATGAATAATCGCCAAATTCTTTTAGCGTCCAGGACTCTGTTTTTGTCAGTCGTTACTGTAATACATACGTTATTGTAATATAAAATCAAATTATTCCACATAAGTATTACATACGTATTTAAGAGAATAGTTCTCTTAGTTTTATATGTATTTTCTTTTAATTTACCATTCGCCGATAATTTTAAACATTTTATGTATACATGTAAATAATCACATGTGAAAAACTAACAAAAATTTAAATAATGTTAATTTTTATTATTTTAAAATAAAACGAACAAAATGACTACACAAATAAACATTACATAACTATACCTAATTACAATTAAAGCACCCTGTATTATTATGTAATTAATACAAAAACTGTTAACTGCGATATAAATATGTGATTTATGACCTGTTATACGTATATGACATTATATAATGTTATATGTACATTTTTTCTATAAAACTTTAAAAAAAATATAAATATAATATAAAAAATAATGTAAATTTGTTCATAAAACTAATGTAAAAAAATTCTTCATAACAATATACTTTATATTCATAAAACTATTCAAAACAAAAAAAACCTAATAATTATTATAGCATTTAAATTGTGACAATAGTTATTTAATTAAACCTGTTACCTGTATAATATCTCTTGAATTTATATAACATTTTCCATTAACAAAACTAAAATCCACCAAACTATATAAAAACAAAAAACCAAATTTAAAAAACAACTAACAATAATTTTTAAATTAATAAAAAATTTATATAAAATTCATAAATTCATATATTTATTCATTTTACAGGGTGCTGTTCCACATTATTATAAACTACGAGTACATTGTATAATAATTTTGTAAAAATAATTCAATGTAATATGCAGAAAATAAAATATATTAATGAAAAATGATGATAATAGCTTAGGTTTCGTCTGTTATGATATGGCATTATATATCTATAGATATTTATAATGAATGAAAATAGTTATTTAAAATTTAAAAGAAAAATTAAAATAAAATGATGAAATAAAATTGAAAAGGAATGACTGATTTCCAAATTCTTTTGTTTTTGTTTTTTTTTTTTAATGAAATTTGTCAATAATTGTAATTAAAATATAAAAAAAAATATTTGTTTAATATTTAAAAAAATAAAAATTATAAATATGTATAAAGAAAAAAAAATTAATTTTAATTTGGTACCTTAAAAAATAAAAAAAACGCGTAGCGTGTATATACATAGATAAAATATTTACATACTAACATTAATATTCATAAGCTTAGTACTAAATTAAATGGTTTATTTTAAAATATTTAAACTGTACTCTCCCTTATATTTCATTCATTATGTGGGTCTTTCTAGTACGTTATTTATGCGGGTCTTTCTAGTAAAAATTTTAAATTTCATTTCGAATTTGGCGGAGGCATATTGAAAACAAATTAAATGTATATGACAAAGGAGTCAAACACCAAATTGCAACGACACTGATTTAAGTAATTTAAATCAGACATTTCCATATTATGATTTAGAACAAACAAGTTTTTGAATTTTTTTTCATGAACGTGTGTACATTTGCAAGCCGTATGAGAGCACAAAATTATAAAAACATAATTGTTACCTTCATTCATTATAAAGCTATTTACATAATCAGTATGCAAAAAGTGCACTTCAAAATTTTACAGTTTTAAAACTTTATACTGAAAAACAACAATCAAATTCAAATCCTACCTGTTTTGACGTTCAGTAGATGCAAAATTGGAAAATAAAACAAATTTTTAAGAGCTATTGATATTGGTGGCATGTTTATTTTCACTTATATTCAGCTACATCTAAACGTATTGTTTTTTGAAGATGTAAAATTTTGAAGTACACTATAGGTCCTCGATTTATGACGCACCTGAATGCGATGATTTAGATTATGCACAAATTTCATCTTATGCGACAAATTTCAATCTTATGCGACAAATTTTATCGAGGACTTAGTGTACTATACATATTTTGTATCCTGATTATATTTTTAACTTAAGAAAAATTTCTGGCTTAGCATAATTAATTTTATACGTTTTTTTTTCGTCATCCACCATTTCATAGCTTGTGGCAAATTAGAAATTTGGTATTCAACTATTCGAGTTTTCATATTTTGTGTTAATATTGAAAATAAAGTCAAAATTTTGAAAATTTTCCAAACAAATATAAAAATTTTTGTTTTTTTATTCAATTTTTCGGAAAAAGCAGAGTGAAAAATACATGCTCTTTATCCGAAACAAGTACGATTCATCAAAGTGCTTCACCTTTCAATAGACAAATTGAAATTAATTTATTAAATTAATTAAATGCAAATTAAAATGTAATAAAATAAATTGTATATTTATTTTTATGATACTAATTGCTAGCACAAATAGATAAAATGATAAAAATCAAATCATAAAAATTTTGGTTTTGTATTTTTTTTTTATTTATTTAAATAATACTCTATTTAATATTGTACTAAGCTTTCTAAAATATGAAAAAATCAATAAAAAAATATATGTATAAATAAATGTATAAAATAAATAAAACAATAAAATTATGAATTTAAATAAAACAAAAAAAAATATTTTAGAAAATTAAATTATTTTAATTATTTTTTTTATTTTTTCAAAAGAAATATTAAAAATAAATAATAAAAAAACTTATTACAATAAAATTTTGTTACATTTATTAGAAAAATAAAAAATAAAAAAAAAAATTAAATATAAAAATTATTAAATAAACTCGTAAATATTATACATAAAATATATAGAAAAAAATGAAAAAAATATTATTATATATTTACAAAATTAAGGCGCTTTCTGTTGAATACCTACCTTTAATATGAAATTAAAACGAAAATATTAAAATTGTATAAAAAAAAATTTAATAAAATAAAACAAATATCAAAACCAAAAACATCTAAACATCTTAAAAAACCGCAAAATTATCTTGCTTTAAAAAACGTTTAAAATAATAATTAACTATTAAGAAAATCCAAAAAAGAAAAAAAAATTATTTTCAAAATGGACGCATAGAAAGAAATTTAAGAAATAATTTCGAAAAATGAAAATTGAAAAGCCCTGGGAATTTTTTTTATTGTTGTTTTGTTTCTACAATTTATTTTACGATTTCAAACAACTCGTACTGTATAGAGCAAAAGTGCAAAATGGAATATCATAACTTCATACCATTTTTCGCAACTTCAAATAAAATATTTCATTCAAATCTTACTCAAGTTTTTACTCTAATGCATGTAAGTTTAAACGAAAATTTTTTATTTAAATCTACAATCTGCGGAAATGTCATTTAATCAGATTCATTTTCATATTTGCATCAGATTCATTGCTGTGCTTTATATAAATATCATTGCTAAATATAGGAATTTAATTAATTAAAACTTTTCGAATTTAATTAATATTTTCGTCATTTTATAGGTACGAATTCCGATTAAAATTAAATTCAAAGGAAAATACAAAGTAATTCACAATTAAATTACCAGCAAATAAGTACAAAAAATATTTTAAACAGCTATGTATATAAAAAATTATATACATTTGTGTAGGTTATAAATTTCCGAACTTCAAAATGTAAACTTGCGAGCAACTCAATGTTGTAGTTTCAACAGCTTTCAACTAAAATGAATAAGCCCTCCATACGAATTTTTTCCCTAAAAAACTCCAACGAATTACCCTTAAAGAAATCACCCGAAACAGAAGCGGACCACCCCATACATAAATAAAATGTAAAATCCACGTTTGTAGATCGTTTTTTTTTAAAAAAGTATATCACTAACAATTTAACTGATTAAAAAAAAAACATTTAAAGATGCATTTTGTTCGCAAAATATTTTCTTTAATTTATTAGTTGAAGTTACTTAAATTGCATAAAATTTTCATAAAATTTAAATTGTTTCTGCATTAACAAGAGGTGATTAGGTGCTTAAATATTTTTAATCTTAAACATTTTTTTCTTTATATTTTTACCCCTTTAATTATGAATAAATTTTTTGTATTTTTCCCTTCCCTAATAAGCAACATATTTTAATTAAAATATAATTAGTTTAACACCTCAGGGCAATTTGATAAGGCAAGAATCAACAATTGAAAATATTTAGTAAATAAATCAAAAACATATAAATATATTATGTATATGTATATACATACATATAAATATAAAAATAAAAAAAATAAAAAGTAATAATTAAAAATAAATAAAGTTATTTACTTATTGAAAATTTTGTTGTTATTATTTAAAGACCAGCATAGTAAATTTATTTCAATGGCAAGTTAATTAAGATAGCATCAAACTTTAGTCAGTACTCCAAATTCTTTTCAGAATAATTGCATTTCTTCTAAACTAACCTTCTGAAACTAAACCTTTTTTGGAAAAATTTGTTAATTTCAGAATCAGGCCCTTGTATTACTGCCCTGGAGATGAAGTAGTAAAATATTCATTTACACTATTAGTATATTTTTATACATGCAAACGATAATAATGTGATTAACTAATAATTAAGTAAACTTATAGAGTATTAGGCATAAAGATGATCCCTGTGACTTTAAACACAGAATTTACAGAAAGATATTATGTCTTAACTTAAAATATCAATCACAATCAATATGAAAATAAAGTCACGCAAAGTGTATTTTTTGAAAGAAAAGTATGTACACTTTATAGAAAAATTGAAATTTTCTTAGAAAATTTTATTGCAAGTTACAAAGTTTAATGAAATTTTAAATGATAATTCATTATATACATATCTTTAAGCTTAAGTTAACAATAGTAGTATTTCACCCAGTATAAACGTTCCTGTAATAAGAATATTGAAATAATTACTTTATTTCTTAAAAATAAATAAAATGCTAAAATATTTTTAAAACAAAAATAAAATATATATTTTCTTTTAATTTAATATTTCACTTACAACTTAATTTATATACAAATTTTTTAATTTATTGAACTTAACTTACTTATATAAATACTTAATCATAAAATTAGTGCATTCAAGTTCTTTCGACATATTTTTCATTATATTTTCTACTACATTCAGCTTTGTTTCAATAAAAACAAGTGGAAAAACATAAAAGTGCATTTTTTAAAGATTTAAATAGTTTCGTCCAAAAAATTATAAAAGCCAGAAAGCAGCGCAGAAATTGTGAATTTGTTAAAATTTATATTTTTGCAGCATGTGAATTTAATTGTAAACCTAACATGTGAAAATTTAAAATTTTTATAAGCGTAAAATTGCATAAAATGTGCTTAGAAAATTGTAAAAATATAATGTAGGTACTTGAAAAAATTAAAAATTTAGCACTAAAATATTTTTCATAAGAATTTACGGAAAGAAACCACTTTTTGTTAATTTCAATTGCAATTGCACATTTTTTACCTGTACAAACTCCTTTTTTTTATTTTTTTTTTTTTTGTTTTCGTTATATTATAAAAATATAATGTGAAGGTACATATTAGTTTATTTTTTAAACTCAACCAATTAGTGCTTATTAAGAATTTAATTATTGTTTAATTTGGAAAGTGTAAGCAATTAGTAATGAAAGCAAAACTTTTACAATTCTATGCGGTTTTAATTTTTCTTTTTTGTATACTTTTAATACTGAGTGGAAAAATTATTTTAACCATTTTCAAAAAACTAATTTTTTTATTACCGTGTTACAAATCATAAAACAAAAAACAATTGCACTTTCCTCTTCCGAAATTAAAGTAGGTACCTAATCCAAATAAACAAATTTCATTGTATGTAAGTAGGTAGGTAGGAACCTAACTACATAATTATTTCTTCGTAGGTATTTTCTTTAAAATTCCTCCCGGCAACTATTTACTTAAAATGGAGAATAGTCCTTTTTAATATTTCTTTTTTCCCACCATTACATTATTTCTTTTACTAACCTATTTTAAAAATACATTCTAATTACTTGTATATAATACAATAAAAATATAAAAAATTACATTTAAAAATGAAATGTAACATACTAATTTTCATTTTTCAAAGTCCATTTGAAAAATTTTAAAATTATTATAAAAAATAAACCTACGGCCATGTTATCTTTTGGCGTTTTAGTTTTTGTTGGCACTGATCTAAACTCTGAGCTAAAATTTCATCATCACTTTCCAAATTTCGTTTTTGTTCAAATTCAAAATAAGTTTTTTTACTACTGTTACTATCTAATTTAAGTACTTTTCTACGGGAAGCTTCCTTCATATCTATGACAGGTAAATTTCTTTTTAATGAACATTGATTTTTTGAAGAATCAAATGTTTCATTATTTTTAATATTTGAAATATTTCCATCTGTTGAAAGTTTTGTTGCTTTCGTTTTCTTTTGTTCTCGTTGACTTAATGGAAGAGCAAATTTTGTATAAATTTTGATAATTTCCTCTGTTTTCAATTCTTCTAAATTTGGGATTTTAAGTTGCCTCTAAAAAAAAAAACAATATCAAAATTAGAAATTTACAAATTTAATATACATTCAAATAATTTCTTACTTACATTTTTTAAAATCATAATTAGGTCCTCCCTGGACATTAAATTCGGATACATAAGATAATCCATACTTTAACCTTCATTCACTATTAAATGCTTCTCAAAATCAGGCCAGATCAATATAATTAACTTTAAACTAAAATATTCATTATCAAAATTTATTTAAAAAACTAAATAATAATAAAAGAAAATTAAGCAAGAATATTTAAAACAAGAATAATTAGAAATATTTTGAAAAGCGTTTTTGCAGACATACTTTTTTGCGTTGTTATGACATTAGCTTTAGGCAATGGCCTTGACACTTTGGTTTTGCGGATTGTTCATTTAAAAACGAAGAAAAACAAAAACAAAATTTATTTTGAAAATGCGCCACTGCGGTCATTTTACAAAATAACATGTGACATCCATCTAAGCTCTCTAAAAAAACGTCAAAAAAGTAATTTTTTATTTTACTTCACACACCGAAATTTTTCGAGAAATTTTAACTATACCAAAGAACAGTGTGATGTTTTAGAAAATACATAATGTTAGCACACATTGGTATTATTTTACATATTTCAAAATGTCAAAAAATTCATTCATACAATAAAATTGCAGTTCTTTAAATTGCTCTTACATTAAATTGACATTACGTTTTATATTCGCAGTTATTAAAAAAAAATATTAGAAGACAAATACATTTTTTTATAATTATGTAAAATCTTTCAATCAATGCCTTCAAGTATTCAAATGTTTCAAAAAGTAGTTTTATGTAAGTTTGTCAAAACCTTCAAAATACAAAATTATTCAAGGTTTCCAAAATTTGGATGTGTCAATCTATAAAATCTTGAATAACATTAGATTGCCAAATTTTGACGGAACATATATGTTTGTGGCATATTCATGAAAAACTTGTCTTTCACAGTTTTTGGTTATTGAACTGTATTTAAAATTTCACGCTCTTTCAAAAACTAAAAGAAGGACAATTTTAAAATGCTAAGTATTTTCATATCGATAATTTTCTCAACAAATTTTCACATTAATTATTTTGCGACTTGTCATAAATATCTAAATATTCTTCAGAGGCGGAAAATATTTCCAAAATAACACACTTATCGTTGCTAATACCAGGAACTGCTAAAAATCTATTTGAAAATTGTATAAAGCGAATTAAAATTAAAATTTTATATGAATTCACAATTCATAAATTATGAATGAATTAAAAATTAAAAGTAAAATAGGTTTAGTTTAAAATTTACTCTATTAAGGCAAGCGTTAACAATTGAACATTTTTCACATCCCTGATTTACACAAAATGGTTTGTGTCTACATTAAAAATAATTACTGACATCAAAATGGGTTTTACACTCTCATGAATTTTGAAAATTATAACAATTTAAATTATATTCTATTATACTGATAATGATCTCATAGAATAATACTAAAATCATTTATTATAACTCTTATAATAATGATATTAAATTTATTTCTGCACGTACAAAAATGATAAATGACGCTTATTTGTTTAATATTTTGTTTTGACGTTTCAATTTTGTTTCAGCTTTTGTGTTATCGTTATCGGTCAATTTGACATTTGACTATTTATAGATTTGTTGTTGCTTTGGCCAAGAAATTCTACGTCAACTCAACCAAAAAAACTTTTAAAAATATTGAAAGAATTTGAAAATATAAAACTATTAGAAACTCAGAATAAGTTAGAATTATTTTTGAATGATAAAATGTTTAAAAAGTTAGTTTTAATAGTTATAGATATTTGTACCTGCGAAAAAAAAAATCATTAACCTTAAAATATTTATAGATTTGATGAAAAAGAGAGTGTGTCCGGTGTCCAACAATTAAAATCCTCTGTACAAAAAGGAATACGCACAAAACTATTGGAATCATATCCTCATTTAGAAAATTATGCTGATAATATACTGCCAAGGAAAGACGCATTCAGGATTATAAAATGGTAAGTACTTACTGCATTTACAGTAAATGCCGCATAACCAAACAATGATTACATATGTGAACATTTAATTTGAACTCATACTAAAAAAATCATTAAATAACTTTTGATAGCCATGATCATTTAGAAATACTTGTTAATGGTTCAGGTGAACAAATATTTTTTCGTCAAAGAGATGGTCAGTGGATGCCAACTTTAAAACTTTTACACAAATACCCGTTCTTTTTACCTATGGAACAGGTAGATAAAGGTGCCATAAGGTTTGTTTTAAGTGGAGCAAATATTATGTGTCCAGGTTTAACTTCTCCAGGGGCATGCATGACACCAGTTGATAAAGGAACTGTTGTTGCTATTATGGCTGAAGGAAAAGAACATGCATTGGCTATCGGAATTACTGCACTATCAACAGAAGATATGTAAGAATAATATTAGTCAAACATTTTAAATATAAAAAAGTAATTTAATTTTAGTGCAAAAGTTAATAAAGGAATCGGTGTTGAAAATTGTCACTATTTAAATGATGGATTATGGCATATGAAGCCAATTAAGTAAATTTAGCATTTTGTATTTCAAATTGTGATCAATGTATTGTATTTAAAAGGCTAGGTCTTAATACAAAGTTTTATATAACTTTCTGATATAATTGTCAACCTAAAAACAAAAAAAAATATACATATGTTTGGAAATTAACATTTACAAGTTTTTAATTAGATTACATATTTTTTCTTCGAAAGGTCTACAGTTCGAGCTTGTTTGTAAAATTTTGTTGAAGTTGAAGATTTAAATTTAAGGCATTCCATAGGTAACTAGTTAGTTGTAAATTAAAATAGCAAGTAAGATCAGAAAATTTCTGCATTTTGCAATGCAAAAGCTTTACCATTTTTTATAGCAAGAAATATTCACTTTTTTGCCAAAAACCTTTATACTTTCTAAGAGGAATATTTAGGAAACCTGCATAATAACCTATCTGTGTCTAGAAGGTACATATATATGGGAAGTATCTAGACCATTTAAAGCTGCTGATTAGATTTTTATTTTCAAGAAGTACACTTAGTTAGCATACTTATCTAAACGATTTTTCCAGCCTAATTGGTTATACTAAGGAAGCCCATCAATTTGCTAAATATAACTCACAAATTCGTACAATTTTTATTATATAGGTAGATCAGTTTTAAATAATAAAAAAATTGTTTAATATCCTTATAAATTGTTCAAGAAATTTTCAACATTTCGTGAAGTTTCGGATATTTTTTGTGTTTATTAATAATTTTCTTTCAATTATGTTGCTTCATTACCGCGTTATGAATTTAACGGATTAATTCAATTAGCATATTATTTTATCGTTATTATTTTCCATGCATAAAATTAATTTATTCAAAACTTAATACAAAACATTTTAAAATTTAATCTAATTTTCACTTACCTCTGATCTGATATCCAATGAAAGTATGAGGCACTTTGGGTAAGAGTTTCATAATTATTATTATTGGAAACTTTGTAATATTTTAAAATAATTATAGGTAATCTACTTTTTGTTTATTAGAATTTTTATACACAAAATTTTACATGATGTCAGACATTTTGAGAATTTTTTTTTTCAAATTTTATTAAATGCTACAACGTTACCACTCACGTACATATTTTATATTTCAAATTCAATTTCAATTTAAAAAACAATAAAATTTAACAAATCGACTAAACATAGACATTTTTTTATTTAAATTTCAAAATTTAAACAAAATTTCTAGTGATCGGTTTTTTGATGGAATAGAAAACTATATATACATACACTCATACGCTTGTAGCTAAGCAAAAGTGAAGTTGAGATAAGGTTTTCCTTTAGAGTTGCCGTTTTCGTTATTTTCTCGCAAAATTGAAATTTCGTTACTTTCACTTACATACATACATACCTAGATATATTTTACGAACAAAATAATTAATAAATATTTTATTTAGTTATAATCAAATTATTTATTTTTGCTCATAATTAAATTAAATAGAAATGAAGTTATAATATACATTACAGTCATTATATGTACATAATAAAAGAAGCCTTGCAAATTTACGAGTACTTTCACTTCTAAATTTAATAAGGCTATTTACAACTGCTGCCATAATGGACATAATGCATGTGGTCAGTTTGTATTTTGGGCATAATTTTTACATTTTTCTTAAAAACTTTTCAAAATTTTTAAGTTTGACGCTGAGCTGAAAAAAATGAAAAATCTGTCAAAAGTACATTATACTTTGTTTTTAGGTGAGCTATGCGTATGTTTGATAAAGTGATAAACAGTATTGCAGTGGTATGTTAGGTATACATAAACATACATTACTATATTTTCAACAGGTGAACCGCTTTATTTTCTTTGCGCTTTTGAGAAATCAACTCAGCGCTACTAAGCTATTGATCTAATCATATTAAACATTATTATATTCAATAACCGGTGAAATACTACAAATATTAGATAAAATTTAGTACTTTCAATAGAAAATATATCTTAAAAATACTAAATATAAATCTATAATGTAGACCATATCATGAATTAATTATGAACAACATATCTATATAAGAATATATATGTATGTACATATTAGCTTCAAGATTATTTTTGTTATATTTGTGTTTGTTTGAATTTCATGAATGAAAAAAATCGCATGACAGCTATTTTCTATCTTTGAAAATTCAAAAAACTAAAAATAAAGAAAAAAAAAAATGAAAAACAGTTTAGACATATTTGTATAAGTATGTAGATATGCATATATTTTTCATTTTGCAAAAAATACCATGTGCTTTAGAAAATAGTATACATACATACATATGTATACCTACATATACAATATCCTTAAAATTAATTTATTTTCATATACATTTATAAATACGTATATAACACTTATTAAAATTATGTTTTACACACACAAACATACAAATGAGCCCATCAACTGTTGGTCTCTATAGTTTGTTATTAAAAGGAGAATAAAAACATAATTTTTTTTGTTGTTAAACAAAAATTTAAAATTACATTCAAAACTATACATTTACATATACATACATAAATACGTACATGTATAGTAAATTTCCCTTAAAAAAATATAAAATTACTCGCATATGTCTCGCAATTATACCGAAATAAACTATAATAATGGCAACAAGTAGTCATTATTTATAAAAAAAACACACACATTGAAAAAGCACGGTAACGGTAATCGTTTGCAGCTCACACACAATCGTTTCAATTTTTAAAGATAGGAAACATAACAACAATAAGAAGATTGTGTGTCTATTCCTCTGCTTGTGTTGTGGATTTACTATGTTTATTTATAAACAAATACACGTGCATTTCTACTGTAACAATAAGAAAAGGGAAATATTTTTTTTTTCGTTTGTTCATTTTTGAAATTATCATCACGTGTATTCTATGGAGAATGCAAAAGAAAATAAAAAATGGCGTTTACAAAAAAAAATTTTTATCGATTTTCTATCAAAAATTAACTTTTATTTTACTTGCCTTTTTAAAAACAAAACCAAAAAAAAAAAAACAAAACAATAAAAAGTTAATCTTCCTTTTTAATATTTGAATCTGCGCATTCTGTGATTTGGCTCTCAAATTCTTGAAATAAATAGCAAAAAAAAGTTAAGGAAATGAGGGAAAACTTTTCTAACTTTTATTTATGAATACTTTTACATAGAGTGTTGCCAACACTTATAGTTACAATAAAATTAGTAATGGTTATTTAATTTAAAAGAAAAAGTCTTATATCAGAAAATCATGACAAGTGTAAATTACCGTTTTACCCTATTTTGTAAATTTTAGATATTTTCTTACGAAGCGTTAATAACTGAACACTGTGAGCTCGAAATTAAAGGTTAAAATTAAGTTTTAAGGATTTTTAATTGCATATAAATTCTCTGCTTTCAAAAATAAAGTGATACACAATTCAGTGTGTGAATTGTAATTAGCAATAGAGTTTTACTGCACTTTTGAAATCAAGAAGATCTCAAAATTTATGGAAATTAAAAATTCAATTTCTAGCTCTTGAAATTTTTTTTTAAATTAAACGCTTAATGTAAATCCTCTATCTAGTTGTTTAAGCCAAAAAAAAATTCTTTCAATATGGTACCATTCATACTCATATTTATATTTTGAAAAGGAACAGATTTTGAGAGAGAAAGAGAAAATTTTCCAAAAACAAAAAAAAAAATAAGAAGAAAAAATAAAATAATTTTGCTACTCTTGTACATGAAAAATATTTTTTCTCATCTCATTTACAATATGGCCGTGATACAACAAACTAGTAGTTAGAAAGTTTTCCGTTTGAATTATTTAATTTTTTTTTTTGCAAGGAAAAAACCAGCATAAAAAAATTATAGTGAAACAATACAAAAAATTTAATTAAAAAATTATATAAAAAGTGAAAAGTAAAGGAAAATTTTACGGTTTTTAAACAAAAAATTTAAAAAAAGGCAAATGTTCACTTTGACAAATTGAATTTTCTAGATAATTTTCAATAAACATTTTTTTTTTTGATTTTGTTTAGTTCAGTGTTTTTTTTTTTTTAAGTTATACCTTTGTGTGTACATACATACGTGTAAGGAAAATAACAAAAAAAAAATTTATTGATTTATTTCATAATTTTTAAAGAAAAAAAAAATTTCATTTAAAAAACAAAAAAAAAAAAAACAAAATTAAAAAAGCAAAAAAAAAATGGCAATTTGCAATAATTTCATAAATAAATCATGAAAAAATTTATACTAAAAGATTTTACATATAAAATTGATAATAAAAATAAATGAAAGGAAAAAAAAATTCCAAATTAAGAATGGTAATGATAAAGTTAAATAAAGGTGAGGTCAAAAGTAGAAAAACAAAAGTAGAATAGTAGAAAAAATAAAAAGAAAATTTTAACTAAATTTTTTTTTTTATTTAATGAAAAATTTTCAATTAAAATTTAATAAAAATTGTTATTAAAAATCATCATGTTTTTCAAAATCAAAAAATTAAAAATTTTTCCAAAGAGAATTCCAATAAAAGGTTACTACGATTATAATAAGTTCAAGAACATTGTGTGTTCTTGAAAAAAGAAATTAATTTATTACAAACACACACAAATTCATTATACAATGAAAAAATCTATTTTGATTTTTTTTTAATTATTGTATTAAAACTTATTTTTCTTTTTATTTAATTAAATTATTTGCATATAGAATTATTTTATTACACTACTGATGATGGTAATTAGTAACAGTAATGTAAACATTATTTGCACCTTCTCAATGTATTTTAAAAAATCTACCCCCATATTTTGTTACTACAATGAATAAGTTGAAAAATTCCTTTGGAACAGAAATTTTTTTGGATGTGGGTATAAATTATTAATTAAAAAAGAAAATCTTAAATTCATATTTGTATCTTTTATACATAAATCTTGTCTACAAATATACTTACACATATAATACAACAATATATATACACACAAATATACAGATATGCAAATTATAATTTTATGAAGACTTTTGCGTGTAAATTTTATTATTTTATTTTTCCTTTACTTCTTAAAAAATTACCACGTATCCAATTTTTATACTTAATATTAAGTTTTTTCTTTTTTTTGTTACTTGCTCCTTTCATTTCTTATTTTAACTCCTTTTATTTTATTATAACTTTCTTTAATTTTTTTTCTGTTTTGTTTTTTGATGCGTCATTAGGAAAAATGAAAATTTTCTCTTTTTTTTTTACGTTTTCAGCTTAATTTTTTTCTTTTTTGTTTTCTTTATTTGATTATTTTTTCTTTTCTTGATTTTCTCTTACATTTTGTTTTTGTTTTCATTTATATTTTCATTTTTATTACGGAGTTATTTGTATTTTTTTTTTCGCCTTTTATGTACACATACACATACTCGTATGTACAAGGTCTTATATGCTTAAGGAGCCATCAGCACCAACCATCTATGTTTATTAAATACATATACAATCTAGGTATGACTTTAGTTGCATGAAACAACCAAGAACAAAAAAAAATTGTATGACTCAGATAGCTCGTAAAATGGGAAATAAAAATACGAAAACAAAAATTAAAAGAAAAAACAAAGTAAGAACGGAAAGGAATTTAAAGAGAAGAAAAAAAATGAACGGAAAAGTGTTAAGGACATTTATGTACGTTTACATAACGCAGAAGACAATCAATTCGAAAAACAAAAAAAAAACATGTATAAAATGAAACCAAATCAAACAATCAACCAAACACATACTTTTATATACTTTTAAACAAACCAACAATCAAGCTGACAAACAAAATAAAAATAACTTTTCGATTACATGTGAAAGTAATATGTACAAACACACGTACAAATAAACTTTAGAGCGTAATAAAATATAAAGGAAAAAAACCAACGATTTTTTTGTATTTTCTTTTATTTTTTTTTATCGTTCAACTTGTGTGTTTGTTTGTTGATTATCTGTTTTTATTATTTGCAATTTTCTTGCACTTAACACTTTATTTTTTATACTTTTATTTTTCTTCCTTTCTGGTTTGTTTATCTTGTTTTTTTCTTTTTAGTTGCTTTTTCATTTTCTTCGTTTCTACATTTCCGTTGGTTTGTTTTTTTACATTTTTATTTTTACATTTTTATTATTTTTATCTTTTTAAATTCGTAAAGTGCCATTCTACAATTGTCTTGATGGTATAGTGAGAAGTTTATTCACCTGCAAAATATGCGTAAAGGGTCATTAATTTCAATAGAATTTAATAAAAAAATATTTTATTTTTTCGTACATACATATGTATATATATTTTTTTGTGGGAACCAGGAATTAAAGGAAATAAATGGAACATTCCTACAAGGGAATATAGGAGAAAGATCGGATATAGGGCTTTAAGTTTTTACATACATACGTATATGTTCATATAATTTTTACTCAGTACATTTCACATAATATTTTTTAATATGCTCAGTACAAGCAGTAATACTATTCGTATGTGATGTGTTACCAAAATTTTGCAAACTGGGAAGGAATTTATAAAAAGAAGTACTAGAATTTAAAGTTTAGGTAAAATATTAGAATTTATTTGCAAATTTATGATTAAGTTGAATAGTAGAGAATATTTTTCTCTAAATAACCTTAAATATATATACAGGGTGGTTTCCAAAAGGTGGCATATCATTTCAGGAATCAAACCATTAGAGATGGTAATTAGTTGATCATTTGATATTTAATTAATTGCAATTAATATTATACTATAAAATTTAATAAATTAATAAAGCCAGTCTAAAATATGGAAAATGAATGTAATCTGTAAAACATGTTATTTGTTTTAATATTAGTTTTGAGATAATTTTAAATTTAACACAATTCTGTACTTGAAATTTTCTATGTTAAATATTTAATACAGTTTCTGTCAGTTCTTTGAATCTAATAGCATCTGTTAATTTACAACATAAACTCAAATTTGGAAATGGCGCGAAAAAAACTACTGGAAAGTCAAATAAAAATAAATCAAATTGTTTACGTCTTGCTTTGTTCAACTTAGTAAGTGCTGTTTCAAAATTGTTAAAGGTAAAAATATTCCGTGTATTCTTAAGTTCCATGTTGTTAAAAAAAAAATTTCAACATACCTGTATAAAACATACTGGATATAAAAATCTTCCTGTAATGTAACACGTTTCAAATTGTTAAGAGAATTTCGTTGGAGTTTCAATTTCATTTTTAAGCTTGTCATTCAGATTTTCTTCGAAAACCTGTTGAACTTTTACTGTTTAAAAGTCAACTAACAACATAAAGCTGTCATGTTAATAAATTTCATGTTTTATTTTTAAAGTAGAAAAAAAGCTATAAAATCAAAAGTAAACGATTTGCTTACCTGAATCTTTCGTCCGCAGGTTTAAAACATTCTACTAGCCCCATTTAAAAATACATTAACCTAACCCGAATCCAAATTTCGAAACCCCGCTCAAAGAAGCCCACGTAAAAATCTTACAAAAAAAATTATAAAAATCGGATGAAACTTTATTAATTTGATTAGATTTTACAATTTTTAGTTCTGCAGATTGGGAAAATTTCCAAGCTCAAGATTAGCTGGTGAAAATTTAGTTGGAGCAGAAACCTATTTGAATACAATTTTTGCTTCATTCTTTTGACTTGATGAACCGAACCGCGCTTTCTGGGTTATATTTGCTACTAAATATACCGTTAAATTAACGGGAATAGAATATTAATGTACCTAGTGTAATATTATATCTCTAAAAACGGATATCGGCTATAGAAATAGTAAAATATTAAGAAAATGGAATTTAACTTGCACAAATTCTGAATATGTTTAACTTTTAACATTTCTTTTACATATGTCACATGAAAATTTTCAGTCGATTTCATATTTTTAAAAATATTCCGACAGAATATCTTTTTAGTTAAGGCTCATTTAATTCGCTAATTAATAATATACTATTTTATATACACGGTGTTTCGCATAAGATGCATTTTTGGAATGTTTTTTAAACACATTTAACACGTTTTACTGGAAATACTATGGGAGATAGAGGAAAATGTTATATAGGTTAACTTTTAGATATTATTGTAGAGCATCGAAAAAAAAAAAATAAGTAGCACAAATGTTCGAGTTTTTAAAAAAAAAAATTCAAAAACAAAACAAAAATTCGAAATTTGATGAGCTTTATCTCAAAAATTATGGCTCAGACCAAATTGATTTTAAGACCGCAAATAAGGAGCAATAAATTTTCTTTAAAGATCGTTCCTCTATACCACGCAATTCCGAAGTTCTACCCGTTTATTTATATGCAGTCCCCCATACAATTTTTTGCTGCAAATTATTTCTTTGATCCATGAAATAATATGCCACCTTTTACGAACCACCCTGTGTATATTGATTTAAGGTTATTTAGAGAAAAATATTCTGTACTATTCAACTCAATTACAATTCATTTCTAATTCACTGAAAATCCTCCGATATTATTATTGTATTTTGTTGTTTTAACAAATTTTTTTTTGTTGAAAATGACCTATTGAAATACAAAAATATTTAAAAATTGATGAATTTCTTGTCTATGACTATTGGGTATTACGATCGTTGTTTATAAAACAATTGAAATGTTGATGAATAAAATATTCTCTATGTAAAACAAATTAATTGTTTAAAATGAAATTTTTGTAAAAAAAACTTACAATTATACAAAATTATTCTTAATAAGAGGAAAATCGTCTATGTATCTATGCATATATATAAGGCAAGCAAATGAGGTCAATTATAATAATAGCCCATATTAAATATTTTATCAATTTAGTTCTTAAGCACTGTTTCATTATATAAAAAAGGTTCTTATTTTCTTTGTTTTACTCATATTTTTAGTTTATCTCTTTTCTTTTTTTTTTAATTGGTATGAAAAGCATTGTTATTAATAATGGCATTTTGCAATTATCTTTGATTGCGGAAGACAATATAATAAATTTAAAATATTAAAAAATGTTCAAACAATATATTGTGTAGGATATGGTTTCGTAAAATGTAGGCTATTGTATATCGAATAATGTATGTCAAATATTTTTAATCGGAGTAGTATTTGTTTCGAAGTTTTTCTTTTTTTACTTGGAAAGCAAAAAAAAAAGGATCTTTTGTGAATTTTTTATATCATATTTTATAAAAGAAACTAATCCATAATGTATATGTATGCGTGAATATTTTGTCTTCTAGACATTTAATTGACTTCTTGTATTGTAAAGAGATTAAGTTTTTGAAATGACAATAGCTAGTTATAAATAAATAGGCTAGCTAGTATTTTGAAATATAAATTGAAGTAGAAGATTATAAAATCTAAAAAAATTCAATATCCAT